CTCATTCTCTATTCACTAATCAACCCTTTCTCAAGCAAGATAAATTTTATGCTGCAGCACTGTTTTTTTAAAGCAGAACTTGAAGATCCATTAACCATAGCTTGGTACAAAACAGGAGACCTAAATTGTATTTGTATTTAATTTCAGAGCTGAAGAGAAGGCATAGCTATTCTTAACAAAATTTCATTCCTTGTTATAACAGGCTTCATTCATTTTAATAGGATAATTAAAGGTACTGTGCATACAATTGGGATAATTTTTGTGCTGATATTGTTAAACTCAAAATCAGAAACTTTTGCAAATTTATTCTAAACTGCTCAAATGTATTAGTAGATCCTAACTTACTATCTGCTTTGCCAAAATCAGGAGAAATTAGTTTAAAATGAAAACAAGGTTCATTTATTATTAAGCTTCTGTGCCACCCATCTTGCCAAGGCAAGTTATGTTGGTACTACTTCTGATTAATCTAGAAAGAGAATGGTAAAATAATTCTGTTCTTAGTTACCTGAACAGTGTGCTAATTCATACATACATATTTCTCTTGCTACTTTCTTTGGGGGTAAGCAACATATACAAAGCATAAAAAAAAGTAAGAGCAAAACCAAGAATAAACCAAAATAGGGAAAGACATGTACTATAGATTGGTTAGCCCATCTCGTATCTTGGCATATTGTTGCAAAACACTTTTGCTTTCACCATTTTCAAGCATACATTTGCATGCTATATTTTGTCCTTTAAATGTCTTCTCTCTGTTTAGGAAGTTATGAATTAAATAATTATGCTAACTGATGGTACTATAATTGTATTAATCTCACTGTGTATAAACTAAATTGTTTTCAAAATGACTCCATTTTAATTTGTCAGTTTTGAAAAACTGATTTTGCAAAAGGAATATTGGAAAGGTTGGACATGTTTTCGGGATCCAAAAATCAGAACACTCATCATAAAACGACCCAGTTTGGTCTAGTGATTAAGGCAGCTGCCTAAAAACTGGGAGACTATGAGTTCTAGTCCCACTTTAGCCGTGAAAACCAGCTGGGTGACCTTGGGCCAGTCATTCCCCTCTCAGCCTAACAGGGTTGTTGTTGTGAGTAAAATAGGAAATTACATCAGCCAATTGTCATTCTTAGTTTCTAATGACACTGGTCTTATTTCTAGATGGCAGAAAATTATTTTGGTTATGCTTTCTGATCTTCTCCTAATTACAGTTCTATGGCAGGACAGTTCTATGGCAGCATATTTAATGTGCTATTAAATATTGTTTGCTTTCATCGTCTCCATCAATGTCTGATTTTCTTCTTTGATACCACAATTGCAAAATTGAATATTTAAACTCTTTTGAAATGACCACAACAGAAATGTCATAGCAACAATCAAGCTAGAAGAAATGCACAAGGATAAAAAGGACAGTAGTCAGATTTCTCAAGACATGAGTTTTTCACATCAAAGCACTTTCTTAAGGCTTTGACTAGGGAGATGAATCAGATATATTTTATATAAAGCTATATAATATATATTTTTGTTAGAGGATTAACAGATTTATATTTCAGTGCTTTAAAGTGTTGAATTTGTGAATTTCAGATGCAATTACATTATAATTTTTATCTATTTAT